CATCAAAACCAGTCTTCCTGACAATCCTGAGAAGATACAGCTTTGCCACACTACTCCAAGACCACCCTCACCACCATCAGACCTTTCTCACACACACTGAATAGTCCCTATGTAGACAGACTTACAAAATCAAAAAGAAATGTCTATCTATAGATACAAAATAGGACTTTAGTTATGTGCAAGGTAAGTGGCTCCAGTGGAAAAGCACCTGCCTAGCAAGCATGAGGCCCGGAGTTCAAACCCCAGTACTGAAAAGAAAAGGAAAAATCCCTCTTGAGTACAGATCACAGTTTAAAACAGACAAACACTCTAAGCCCAAGGCTTTATGCTATGCAAGCACTCTACCTAGTCCTACCTGCTTTCATTGCTCTAACCTATCTGTATTCCTGTTATGAAATTTTGTTTTGCACGTTTCTGAACTTTAACAAGGGAAAATGTTATACACATTTTCTACATGCAACTTTTTTCCCTCTCAAGATTATATGTCATTATTTTTGAGGCAGGGCTACATAGCAAGTAACCCACACAGGTACCCTTCCTCAGGCACCCATCCCACCCCCAGCAGCTAGAATTACAAATGTGCACCACCATGTCTGGCCCAGTATTCCCTTTTGCAAACAGTGTGAATTTTGTACTTGCATGTGTCGTCAGCCACTCAGGGGTTTCCCTAGGGCAGTGGCTTTCAAATTTTAGTATCAAATCTCCTAGAGGGCTTGATAAGTCAGAAACCTGGCCCATTCTGAAAGCTAATTCAGTAGGTCTAAAACTGAAACCCAAAATTCTGCATTTTGAACAAGTTCCCAAGTAATGCTAGGAAACAACGTGGAACTACTCTAAGATAAATACTCAGATCCAGCCATGGCGGCACAGGCCTGTACTCCAAGCACTCTCAGAGTTGAGGAAGGAAGAGTTGAAGGGCAGCCTAGCCTACTTAGTGAGACTAGTAGCCTCACTAACCTCACTTTTTTCTTCACTCAGGGGAAAAAAAAAAACTAAGGAGAATTAATGAGTTGGAAAGTACATGCATCTCACTTACACTAGATAATTTCAAAGTTATAACAATTTACACTCCAGTGAAACCGATGGTAGGGACCCACCTCTCCCTGAGACACTGGGACAAAAGTTAAGCAGTGTCAGAGCTCCGTTGAACATTGGTGAAGTACTGTTACTGATAAGCCTTTCTTGTAAGCATCCTTATGAAAGCTCTTTTTTTGTTGAATAGCGTTGAAGGCCTGTTACTCATAGGTCTTTGTTTGTAAGCACCCATTTCAAAGTCTCTGGAGAGATCTTGGGGGCTTGGGGAGACTTGACTCCTGACAGCTGATAGAGTCTTCTATGGGCACCTGCTGCCTTGAGCGAAGGACTGCTAACCAGGCAGCATACTGATACCAAAAGCACGACGCCAGCTCCAGGAGGTACTGCCCCAGTAAGCAGCTTGTATGGGACTCAACTTAACAGACCAACTGCCACAAGTGCCATTTCTATCCAGGCCAGAGGAGGGAGCAGGTCAGACCAATTGAAGACTTGTGGTTGGTACAAACACAATCCTTTATTTGCACAACAGTCCGTACCATGACTGGGTCAAGCATGAGGGGCTGTCATGATTGGTGCAGACACTCTTGTCCCCTCCCTCTTCTGTCTATAGAAGCAGACTGCTCAACCTACTTCTGAGCAGCTAGGAGATACCTATTGTCCTTGCTGCCCCCTAATGTTTTAACATCAGGTTCCAATAAAGGCTTTCTCTTGGGTCTTGCCCATCTTTGCCCAGCCGGTAACATAAAGAAAAACAGAAACAGCAACCCTGGCAACAGGGCAGCAGGGAGGCCACCTTGGCAAAACTGACCAGAGCAGTGGGGGCAGGCAGCAGATGCAGCAGGGAACATCTACTGCACTGACAGTGAGTGGTGGGGATGGGCTAGCAGAGAGACCCCTCCTGCCACAAAAGCTGTAACACAGCATGGAGCCCTGTGCCTCCTCCCTGTCATGGCTGTCACCAAACCCAACGCCTGAACCCATGCCGTTGCCTTAGCTGTCAGGAGCCTCGGGCTGACTGTCGCTGTCCACTGTCATCCACTCTACCATGTGCAAATACCTGCAGGGGCCTGATAACCGAAGAGGCTTCTCCTCACCTCCTCACAATTTCTAGCTGGGTGGAACAAAAGAACGCCAGCCAGCTGGTGTCATACCAGCTGTACCCATGGGCAGGCATTTTACGATGGTGCCACCCTAACGTGTAGGAAACGATACACACCATTTTTGTCTTGATTTCACTTGCAATCTCCTACTTAATAATGAAGCTGAGCATTTTTAGTCAGGTTTCCTTTTGTGAGATGCTCACTTGGTCTTCTTTCTTGTTCTTTTTGATGTGGAGTCTCCTGCACTTCTGAGTGCTAATCTTTTATCAGTAGTATGTACTACATGCACCTACTCTCCCCAGTGACCTCTGATCAATTTCTTGATAGTTTTTCTTAATAACACAAGTTGTAGATATTAAAGTCAAACATGTTGACTTTTCCCTTATGATTTGTGGCTTTTGTATCAACGCAAAAACCTCTATTTACTGTGCCAGAGTTAAACAACTATTGTCCTGGATTGCTTTCTAAAAGTTTCATATTTTGCCTTCAGTGTTTAAGTCTAATTGACCTGTAACTGTTTTTTTTAAGTGACACGAATTACAAATGAATCCCACCCTCACGAATGTCCTATATATAAGAAGCACACATATAACCAACTATAATTTCAGGGAGGACACAAACAGTGTATGAGTAAAATATTATTTAGATATTAACCATTACTTTATTAGGTTTATTCTGCTCTTTCACTGAGGCAAACAAAAAAATGAAATTCTTCAACCTGAAAATCAGACAATGATACTCACCCCACCACACTCAAGGAAGGATCCTTAAATGTCCCCCAAAATCTCATTTAAGTCTTATCGTAAAAAATAAAAGAGTTAAGTATTAGGGAATTGGGGGGAAAATGGCGTTCTCAAATAGTCCTGATTGAGTAATTTCGGTTGAGTAATTTCATGAAAGTAATTCTGAACACCTGAATGAAAAGCCTACCTTCTTTGAGCCATCAATTACCCTTTACAAACTGTATCAAACTGTATGTGACCATAACTAGACAAAATGTGTGCTTAAGAATGTTCAGATAAAAACGGGGATATGGGGTGGATATTCACCATGGAACTCTGTAACAGAGAAAAACTAGAAGCAACCTAGTATCCAGCGATAGGGTAAGTTAAAGATAAAACAAACATGGCACATCCCTATTCTTGAATGCTCTGTAGTTTGTACAGCTGTGAGACAGCCATATGGAATACTGATGCTACAGATTGTTTGTGCAGATGGAAAGCTGTCCATCATATTCTGCTAACTTATAAAAGCAATTAACAAAATGCACGTAGCATCTTCATTTAGTCATCAAGTACTTACCGAGTGCCTTTGAGTGTGCCAGGTGTCAAACAAGTCACTGGGAACAGAAAGCAAAGTGTTCCCCGCTTTACAGTAAGGCAGATCAGATCACTCTGACTGGGATATTAAAGGCATTGCCACTTTGAGAAAAAAATTATGTATGTAATATATCTAGCAATGTTACCCATATGACACTGGTAGGATACTTCTTACCCAGCTCTACAGACTATCAAATGGATAAGCAACAGGATCTCAGGGGAACTACCTTGTGATGAACTTATGTACATCCATTTTCTACAAAAAGTGTTCTAGGGACAATTTTAAGAAATGAAGCACAAGGGCATGAGTACAGAGTTCAGTGCAAGAATGCTTGCCTGACATGTGTGAGGGCCTAGATTCAATCCTCAGCACAAAGGTTCTCTCTCTCTGAGCCAGGTGCAGGCACACACTTAGGTTTAGGCTAAAGCAGGAGGATACCAGTTCAAGGCCAGCCTGGGCTACATAGTGAGTCTCTGTCTCAAAAAAACAAAGAACCCGTGGTCTATACTGTTTCCTTGGCCAGGCAATATGGCCTCCTCGCTCTTATGATAGGAATGGGCGTTTGCTCTTTCAGCCGCTCACTGAATTCCAGCGTGCCAATCGATGTATTTCACTTAGTAGTAAAGTTTAACTCTTTAATGGGTAAAAACAAATCGCAGTTTGTTTTCGTGGAAATCTTTTATTACAAAGTTACATAGTTCTCCACTCTTTTAAAATGTACATAGAATATAATTAAATGTTTTCTTGATGATCCAGGATCATCAATTGTGTGCTGGGCAGAAAATCTCCACTGCTCTGTATGAGGACAACAAAATCCCTATTAAAAGAACTTAACTGAGGGCAAGGGCAGTGCTACTGTAGTTATAATACAGTGAGGGCTGGCTTTGTACAGCCTCTTTATGAAGCATTTACCCACATGCTACCAATTAGAACTCACCCAAACTCTGCAAGAAATGCACATTTTACAGATGCATCTTCTGAAATTCACATAGGTTATGAGACTTACCAGCAGCCACACAGCTAGTAGCCACAGGGTTTTCAAAACCAAAACCCAAACCTCTCAGTCCTTATGAGATTAGGTATGGAGTTGGGGGGCAAAGGACTGAGGATCCTGGAAACAGCACTGAGAAGGCAGACCCCCAAAATATAAAGGAATGTGCTACATTTCTTTTTTGGGTGGCCAACAGTAAGTGAAACATTTGTCCCCCTGGCCTGCAATATGTGGAAAGTGGAACCTTAGTTAAACTATCTGCCTCTGTTCCCCACGGTAACCTAGTAAGGGTAAGAATGCCAACTTTGTCATAAGCAAAACTGTATCTTGACCTGGAGGAGCTGCAGAGAACCATAGATAGGGGCTAGAAGGCCATGATTCAGGATTCGCCCAAAGTGCAACAAGTCTTTTGAGAGCTCTGCCTCTGCCAATGACCAATGAGCTATGCCTGTGGAGTAGTCAAAGTCACTGGCTCCCTATGGGCTTCAAAAATAAGACTACCCCCACCCCCACTAAAACAGGTCTTGTGTCCCTGTACCAAAACAAGCAGTTACCTGGGAAGCTTCTATACAGCTGTGTAGTCAGCTGCAAGACATTCCTGAGAGCACACTGCTCCCACTAAGCTAGCAAGCTGCAGCACGATCCTGTCCATCCTCTCTGCAGCCAGTGAAGTCTTTGAGTGGGAGTTAAACCTAATTCCCCCTGCTGGGCATGGCGTACCAGCAAAAGATCAAAATACACAGGAGGAAGCTTCTAAGAATAGACAGGCAGAAATGATACCCACTACAGGGAAACAAACCAAAAGCCAGCAAAGAGAAACACTACACAAGGGCCCATCCTGGAGTCCTGAGACTCGCTCAGAGCAAAGTAGCCATGGTGGACCCCAAGCCCAGCATATTGAAGCAGCAGTTTCTGTTCTCTCTTGCCCCCTCTACCCCAGGGACCAAGTCAATTTGTACAACTTTAATTCCCATCCATACACTGATGATTCCTAGATGTTCATATCTAGCCAACAGCTCTATGGGAACCAGATCCAGAAGTCCCTCTACATCTTCCACACACCCATCAACTTCACCCACAAACTTACTCCTGTTCTGTTTATTGCAGTATATAGCCTTACAACCTACCAATACCTAAGCCAGAAACCCTTAACATCCATTAATAGGGCGATGGCTAAATAAGCTACCACATCTGCAATACTGATTGTTGCACAGCACTTACAAAGATGCAGATGTAGTACCTACGAAGCTCACCAAGACATCCTCAGTCTGAAACTCCTCAACAGTGGTTACCTCTGAGAAAGGGAACAAAGAAAGCAATGGATTTGCTGTTTCACAGGCCTTGCTGGTGTCTCAGTGACTGGGACTCCATGGGACAAAAGGCTACATGCTTCCTCCTCAGGTATAGAATGCTTTCAGGTGACTGACTGCCCTCCCTACTGGGACTTTACTATGGTCAGAATTGCTTCATGGAGGGAAGATGATAATGTTGCCATTTGCTTTGTTCATATCAAAAGAATAGGTATTTCTAGAAAAAACACAAGGAAACTGTTAACAGTCTCTGGAATGAACCTAGGAGTCTGACTTCATGCACTACTTGCATCCTTTATTGTGTGCACGTATTAGTTTATCTATTGCAAACAAGTGAATAATTGAAGGGAGGAAAAACTTTCTTCCCCGTGGAAAGGCCCTCCACAGTACGGCCGCTTCCCATGCTGCTCTGCTCAGCTGTCAGGAACCATGACTGTCACCTGGAATGCCCTCCCCGCCATGGTGCACCAGTAGGCACCCAGAGTTCCCCTCCCCCCAACTCCTATCTGAAGCAGCCTACCCCTTCATGGACTCCAGCACACATCACAACAATGTGTGTTTCCCAACAAGACTGTAAGGGCAATGTATCTATCTTAACCTTTAATTGAATCCTGAATAAATCACAAACTACCATCAGACATGGGAGAATCTAAGTGGGGGTGGGAGGGAGAAGGGAACCTTAATTGCTGGATAACTAAATGCTTAAGTATTGTGGAAGACAGTGTATCGTGGTGAATAAAAATATGGCCTCTTCAGCCAAACTGCCTTGGTTTGAATCCTGGATACAATATTTAAAGAGTTGCATGACCTTACACAAGCTACTTATCCTAAACTGACTTTCTCATAAGTAGATGAAATGTAGTAGATACTTCAAAGGATCCTGGGGATTAAAATGAGACTATGCACAATGTTAATGCAAACTAAGAGCTCAAAAACATTAATGCTGTTGTTATTTCATTGAATTCTGTGTCTATTACTTTTTATTGTTCCTTAGTATTGAGTTCTTACAATTTTAGAATCTTCCAGTTTTCTGGGAACCAAATTGTTTTCTGAGAACCACATTGTTACAAGAATAACATTACATCTGAAAACTAACCAGTAATAATAAAAGTAGTAATGCTCAAAAAGGGGGGAGAAATGACCCAAACATTGTATGCATATATAAATAAAAGAAAAAAATGCTCAAAAAGGAAAAATGAAACTTAAATAGCATTGGAGACCATTTTATATAACCTTCACCTACTCCCCCAAAGGTTCTTCTTCCAGAGCTACACTTCATGATTTAAGGGAAGCAGGTAAGTCCTTTGTACTTTGATACTGTCATCAGTTTCTGTTTCTTTCTCACCCTTGCAGGGCTATTTCTGGTTTATGTCCAGGTCATTGAAAATGTTGCACAATCAAAAATTGGTTGTGCCTGGGCCACAACCCTCCCATTTGCACTTCCTCACATGGCTGCAATGACAGGCACTGCCTGACCCAGCCACTGACTGAAAGGGATTCTAGCAAACTTTTTGGCCAGGCTGGACTTAAACCATGATCTTCCCAATCTCTCCCTCCAGAGTACCTGGATTACAGGCTAGAGCCACTGCTCCCGTCCTAGGGCTACCTTCTTACTTTGAAGAAACCCATTCTTAGGTAGGTCTTCGCAAGAAGTAAGCTAGAGAACATCTACTCTTTCTGCTTCCTAGAAATTACAGTGGTTTGGTCAATCTTGTGTTCTCATATGGAACTTTAAATGCTAGGGGAAAAAAATGTCACAAAAATGCAGGGGCAATTAAAACTTTCCAGTGGCAGAAGAGAGTCAACAGTCCAGCAACAAAGGTGGCAATTTCTGCCAGCAGCAAAATCCTAACCAGACTATTAATGGGATATGACCTAGGCTGAGACCTCAACTGCCAGTCCCTTCTGGCTCCATCTATTTTTCA